GGGAGGTGTATCTGGCTCTCTGTAATACCTAATTCTCCCACAGCTTGCCCGGTGAACTACTTGGGAACTGGGATTTCAAATTTCCCAGAAAGGTTGAGATCCTCACGAGCATATTTTGTTTTGGAAACATCAAAATGTAGTAAAAAAACTCTGATTTGGGATGAAAAAAAGTCTGAAAACTCAACCTTTTTCACAGGATGGATATTCCACTTCCCAATCAGTGTTAGCTAGCAAAGACATGGGTGGAAGAAGTAAATCAAAACGTGACTTGGAAAGATGAGCACAGTGAGGACTGTAGGCAATCAGGGAAGATTCAGTATCTAGTAAATGTAACATCCTTTGAAAATAAATAGCACAGATCCAAAATGGGTTTTGTCATGTTGGTGTAATATTGTCCTAATATTAATTTTACATGTAATCAAGGATTCTAGTTGCCTCAGGGAAATAAGACCTGGATATTGACAGTTGTGGTGGTGATTCGCAAGAATAACTCTCTTCTTGTTTTAGGTTGGCAATAATGAAAATGACAGAGAAATAAATCCCAGAGAATCTCCTTGAAAGAACTCCTTTACTTAAAACATACTTTTATTGTGTCATTCACACAAAATGTAATCAAAACACTTTAGAGAAAGAAATAATATAGTTCCTAAAATAATGAGACAAATAAAGAGATATTGGGAGGGAGAAATAATGTGTTGTCTTGCTGTGATGCCATAACATAATCATTTGTTAAATATGACCATTTATGTAATGATGAGCAAACAAAAGAAAACTGTACCGTACAGCAGGAAATGCAGACATGAGGATGTGAGGCGAGACCTAGTGTAGGTTGGCTCTAGATAAGTAGTGGAGTGAGTAGACTGATTTTGACTGATGGGAGAAACTTGGCTGTCAGGATGTTATGCCATGTACTTTATAATACTGCATTGGCATACAGAGTAAATACATTTTTGGCACATCATCAAGCTTCATCCAAACACTATCATATCTAGAGGAATATGTGTCACTGAAAATGTCAGTGTGTCCCTGGCAGCGTTTCTCCCAGTGTTTCCTGTCATTTAAACATTAAGGCTGTGTCTAGATTACACCCCTTTTCCGTAAAAGGGATGCAAATTAGACACAGCGCAATTGCAAATGAAGCGGGGATTTAAATCTCCCCCGCTTCATTTGCATAAACATGGCTGCCGCTTTTTTCCGTCTCGGGGCTTTGCTGGCAAAAAGCGCCAGTCTAGACAGCAATCTTTCGGAAAATAAAGCCTTTTCCGAAAGATCCCTTATTCCTCTTAAAATCAGGAATAAGGGATCTTTTGGAAAAGGCTTTATTTTCCGAAAGATCCCCATCTAGACTGGCGCTTTTTGCCAGCAAAGCCCCGAGCCGGAAAAAAGTGGCAGCCATGTTTATGCAAATGAAGCGGGGAAGATTTAAATCCCCGCTTCATTTGCAATTGCGCTGTGTCTAATTTGCATCCCTTTTACGGAAAAGTGGTGCAATCTAGACACAACCTATCAGAATTTTGTCCTACGTTTTTGTATCCCCCTGCAGACTAGAGGTACTTGAAGGTCCACAAACTGGACAGAAGACTGGCTGACTATGTTCTTCACAAGCCACCCTTCCCCAAGGTTATTTCTACTACTAACTGGCAACCATGCTTCTCACTTTGAAGTCTAAGATAACCCTTCTCGATGTGTAACCTACTCCACATACAGTCAGAGATAAAATGGGAAATGTTATTTGAATTCATTTCTATATTAGCTCTAGCACCTGCAGAGGGACAAATGGGAAGGTGGCCAGTATAAGCCAAAGCCTCTGACTCATCCCTTAACCAATCTATGAGCAAGGAGAACTCCAAGGACAGCTACTTAATCCCACAGGAAGGGCAGCAACACAATCTGTGCAACATCATCACTTGGCTGGCAACTGTTCCTCTCCCACTGCTTTGTGTTTGAGGCTGCTCCAGACATTCAGCCTGCCTCCCCAGTTGGCTCTGCACCTGTAACTCCCTGCAACAGCCCCATCTCTTCCATTCTGAGTTGCTCAGCAATCCCCTGAAAGTTTGCACAGACTGTTACACCAAACGCCAGAGTCTTACATAGAGCTTCTGGGTGCTTCTGCTCCGGAGATTGCAATCCTACTCCAGAGTCTCCAGAATTAAGTTGTCCAGTTGCAGCTGGAAAATGACTCCCTCTGAAGGCAAGTCAGAGTCTTCTCCAGAGCACCTTTCATCGGCCCTGTCAGCAACCCCGGAGTATAATCCAAAAGTCCTGTTGCCAAAGTGGTTTGTTGGTAACCCTCATACATTCTAAGGGTACATTATCTAATGCTGCCTCTTGGTCATGCTTTAGACAGCCATTTACCCAAACAAGGCAAAGGTGGGATTGATCATCAGCCTTCTGACAGGATATCAGCCCTTCTGGAATGGGCAACCCTAGTTCCTGGCTGTTTTGAAGAATTAATCTAATTCTTCTTGCTTATATTTGACAATAAGCAGGCCTACACCACTGAAGCCCCTCTTAAGTTCCTCACACAGGGTTCATAGGCTCAGCTTATTCTGGCCACTTCTGGCACCTGACTGCCTTCTCCACGGCCTTGCCACATCTCTCGCTGCTCAGATCTGCTACTGCCTTGCCACTTGTCTCGCTGCCCGGTCCCTCACTGCCTCTTGCTGCCCCTGGCAGCTCCTGCGCACGTGCTGAGGCAGCTTGGCTTAGTGTGGCTCTGCTCGCAGGGAGGCGGCCTGCTCTGCTGCCAATCTTGCCGCCCCCTGCTGGCCAGCAGCTGCATGGCTCCACTTGCAGGGAGGTGCTGCCACTGTGGACAATGTGGCAAGTGTGCTCTGCCACCACCTCTTGCTACCCCTGCACCAGCCAGCAACTCCTGTGCATGTGGCTTGGCTCAATGCGGCACTGCACAGCTCAGCGAACAGGGAGAATCTGCTGCTGGAGTCCACAGCGATGAGGCAGGCAGGCGGCTCAAGGTGCCACAAGCTGCATACAAACAGGCCACATGTTGAGTAGCCCTAATTTATAGGGTTCTGGAAGATGAGCCTCTGTCCATCCAAGTGTATTTACAGTGACAGGGTCTCTCCATTTATCTGAGCTAACTCTGTCTGACTTTTCTGCATCCTCCCAATAACTGCAAGCATTGGTAGTCATATATCACATTCCCTGCATTTAGTGTTAACACAATTTGTTAACACACAACAGCCAAATGGGAAAAAACACGTTCTAATAGTTGACCTATTGGCAGGCCTAAGGAAATTGAGTGAATTGTATTTACATAACCACACCCATGATTTCCTTCCCATTCCAGCTAACTGTAATGGAAGCATTGATTCAGACCCTGCTTGCATCATTTTTAATATTACAAGTAATAAGGGCTGTGGTGCTCTTTATTTTGGAATGCTAGATTAAAATAAAATTTAGACAACTGAAGCATTTACAGATACCCTACCTGAAAAGGAATTATTATAGTAGCTGAGTATTAAGAGATGTTACTATTCTACGAAGTAGTGATGAAGGGAAGTAGTCAACTAGTTGACTACCCAATGGCTACGTCTAGACTGGCATGATTTTCCGCAAATACTTTTAACAGAAAAGTTTTCCGTTAAAACCATTTGTGGAAAAGAGCATCTAGATTGGCACGGACGCTTTTCCGCAAAAGGACTTTTGCCCGAACGGGAGCAGCATTGTATTTCCGCAAGAAGCACTGATTTCAGATAGTAGGAAGTCAGTGTTCTTGAAGAAATTCAAGCGGCCAATGTAGACAGCTGGCAAGTTTTTTTTGCGGAAAAACTTGCCAGTCTAGACACAGCCAATAAGTATATGTTTATCGGGTAGTCAAGTTGACTACTCGCTTGTTCCCCTTGCTGCCTCTGTCAGAGTCCGTGTGTGGGGGGGGGGGGAATAGGAAGCAGGAGCCAGTGCTGGGGGAAGCCAGCTTACAAGCTAGTCCCAGAGAATTGCAGTGTCCTGGAGCCAGTGCAAATCAGGACTGCTTAGTCCCATCTTGTGCTCCCTGGGGAGCTAACCCTACTGCTGCTCTGCATTTTAAATGTAGTAAGGGTTATATTTAAAATGTAGAGCTGCAGCAGGGGTAGCCTCTGGGGCTGGCACAAGCCAGGACTAAGCAGTTGCAGTTCGTGCTGGCTCTGGGATGGTGCGGCTCTGTATTTTAAACGTAATAAGAGCTCGCCAGGCTCTCACTACATTTAAAATACAGAGCTGCTGCGGGATTACCTCTCAGGGCTGGTGTGAGCGGGGTCTGCTTAATTCCAGTTCACGCTTCCTCTGGGAGCTAACCCAGCCCGGCTCCTACTACATTTAATCTCCAGAGCGGCAGCTGAGGTAACGAGCCCCGTCCCCCCCAGACTAATCAAGTAGTTGCTGAAAATTTCATGGACTTTAACATCCCCCCTATGAAGGAACGCCTTGACTCAATGCTGGCCACGACCACGTGTGCATGGGACGCACAGAATTACGAAGTGATAAATTTACAAGTCGGGGGGGGGAGGTGGGGCTGTGACAAGAGATTGTCTCAGTTGCGCCAAATCTCCTTACAAAACGTTACACTGAAAATCTGCAGAAAAGCCTAAAGTCACTGAAACTGTAACTCTCCAGGCAGCGCAAGCTCGGCCTGCGCGGGGCGGTGAGTCTGCAGCTAGCGGGTCTCACACGCTCCGGGGGGGAGAGCTGCGTGTGTACGCGCCAGGGGGCGCTGGGGAAGCGGTTTCTTGTTTCCACCTTGCTCCGGTTGACCCGGCAGGTGACAGCGGGGCGCCGAGTCCACTCCCTCCTTCACCCCTCCCTTCCTCACGTTGTTGCCGCAGCGGGTCTCACACGCTCCCGCTTCCGACCCGTCTGGCCTCGCGCGCGCGAGAGCAGCGGGCGCTACAAGCCACGGCGGCCAGGAAACGGCTTGCCCACAAGTGTTACTGCGCCTGCGCACGGCTCTCGGGACCTATGGGCCGCCGTTTCCACGGTTGTTGCCGCGCATGCTCAGATCGCGGGAACATGCGCAGAAACAGTAACGTGACGGGGAGCCGAGTCTGAAACTGCCGCGCGCAGCCCTGTGCCCCGTGACAGGTACCTGCCTTGCCCGCCGATCGGAGCCGCGGCCCCGCCTGGCTGCCCGTGGGTAGGGGGGCAGCGGGACGGGCGAGGGGCTGTGCAGGGCTCTGCCTCCGCGTGACTCGCCCTGGGGGCAATGCGGTTGCCTCGGACCCTCCTTCCTCATCGGCCGCCCCTCCCTGCAGGGGAGTTGCGCCCTGGCTGTTGGCAACGGAGCTTTCCGTGCCCTGCTTGCTGCGCGCGCCTCTGACAGCACTTTCCCTGCTCTCTGCCTTCCAGCGTGAAAACGCGTCTTTCTCCTGTGAACTTTCTTGCTGTCTGTCCTCGCCGCAAAGAGTCTGGCAGGATTGTGAATGGGACTGAAATTGACCCCTGCCCGTTGTTATAACACGTAAAAACAAGCTCTAAAACATGTTTCTCATTGTATAATGATGATTGTTTCCTCACTGAGTGATATTTAATTTGAGAGACATATTTAAATCCTGGGGCTTTGCAATCCTAGGATCATAGCAACACTTCACATCCTGGAAGGATCCGCTCAGCATTGTCTTTTCATTTGGGGATCCAACTGTTTGTTTCAGTTTGTTAGTGATAATCATTTTACAGAATGGGGTCTTGATTGTTCTGAGCAAAGACTAAAGATCTCATGGAATTTTTTGTACATTAGCTCATGCACACAGTAACGTGTAGCTTGCAAGCCAGTCAATATCCTCCAACCCTAGAAGTTTATAGGTGCTACATGAGTAGACAATAAGTTTGAAATTCTCTGGAGTGAGTGGCATTACATAAATGCTAAAAAATGTACTCAGAACTTTCCATGTAAAATGATAACATGGGATTAAAATATGATCTATGTTCCTTCTGGAAAGCAATAAATATAAGGGACTTTTCACTGTCATTATTTTGTGAAAAGGTCTCCATATGGCTGCTGCTGGGAGAATAAGAATGTTCTAAGCCCCAAACCTAGCTATGGGCTTGAAGCTCTGCAGAAGCAGCACACTACGGCTAAGTCTACACTGGCACTTTAGCGTGCTGAACTTTCTGGCTCAGGGATGTGACCTCTCCCTCCCTGAGTTACAGCTCTGCAAAGTGCCAGTGTGAACCAGGACTCCCAGTGCTATTAGCTACTCGCCTCGTGGAGGTGGTTTATATAGAGTGCTGGGAGATTTCAGTTTAAAATGCTGCCAAGTATAGATGAAACCTAAACCTTTGTGTTTATAAGACAGTGAGATCCTTATGTTGCCTTTGGACCAATTTCCTTGCACACAGATATCCTATAGTGATGTTCCATTGAAAATGTAATGTTATAGACATCAATCAAACAAAAAACCCAACTATCGTAGTAACCTTTATTGCATATGAGTAGTCAAGTTGAACTTAATGAGCATAAAGTTAAACATCTGTGGTAGTGTTTGCAGAATCAGGGCTGTAAGCTATTTTGTGCTTTCTTTATTTCAAAAACACCAATTATATATTATTTTTAAAGTCGCTTATTTCATATAGGTATTTAAAGCTTTCAGCTTGTTCCAAACATTGCTGAAATATAGGCAGAAATTATATTGGCAACAGTCTAGCTGATGCACTTGTTTTTGCTGATGTCCTCATACTTCACGAGTCCGCTCCCATTGAACAAAGCCATCGTTGAAGCATCAATCTGCTTCCTATATAAATATAATGTTAAGGTATTTAATGGTCTTCATAAACTCTTCTGCATTCTTTTATCTGGTTACTCCTTATTGCTTTACTCCTTATCCCCCACTCAGCTGCTAGAAAGAGATTTCTCCACTCTTCACCAATCTCCTTCTATTTTATGAGTTGGTTGGATTATAAATTGCTTCAGGCAAGAGGCTGCAAAGTTTGTAGAGAACAGTTCTAAGAAATGTAGTAAGTTTCCTATTCGGTAGAGCTAATGTAGCCTGAAATAAAGTGAAAGAAACTCTGGTGGCTGCCATTACATTAAGCAAGTCAACAGCTCAGTATTAGGAAACTACAAATATTTAACAGTAGAATTAAACAAATTAATGCTAAAATGTATTTGGGTTTTGTAGATTTTTGCAATTAAAACCTGTGTATTAGGAAAACAGTTTCACTACATACATATGAAGACATGTCTATAGTCGCTCTTATGTTTGCAAAACGTTTGTTGCTTAGGAACGTGAAACGCATAATGTGGCTACACGAGCACTCTTGCAGTAGCACTGCTGTATCAGCATTATAGTTGGCCTAAGATTTCTTCCTTTTCCCCTCTCTCCAGTTTTGGCTAATTTTAAACAGGGAAGAGCAGCACCAGCTGTGAACAAAAGTTATTTTTCTTGAATTTGTTCAAATGTCTGTAGTTATATTTTGCTTTTTAATTCTTAATCTCTTTCTTTGTCTCTGATATGAGTAATGGAAAGCCCATACTAAGATGTGGAAAGTTTGCCAAATAGGGTTTGTGTTGTGTATACTCATCTGTCAGTTTCTTTTCCCATTGCATTTTGCAATGTGATTTAAAAAGTAATCATATAAGGTTCTGTTTAGGGATATAATAGTGTAGTTGATTAACCGATAAGCAAAAGCTTATAGGTTAATGTTGTAGACTACATGCATTACCCCCAACCCCAGTAAATTTTTTAGCAGGCTGGCCAGCGATGGGTTTGGGACCTATCCCTGCTGCGGCTCTGCATATAAAGTGTATTAGGAGCTAGGCAGGCAGGCAGCCCGGCTCAGTTCTGGCTTGTGCCTGGTCCGGGAGCTCAGACCTTCTCCCCCCTCCACCTCCCCCCCTTTCCCCTGGCTGCCCCTTAGAGGTAGCAGCACAGGGTGACAGGCAGCTGGTCTGCAAGGGGAGCTGGTTTTCAAACTGGCTGTCCTCACAGACCAGCTCCCCGCTGGCACCCTGAGGCAGAGGCAACAGCGCAGAGTGATAGAGGGCTCCTCGGGAATGAGGCCAGAGTGCACTGGCTGCCAGCCCCGACCCTGGGGATGATAGAATAGTTGATTAACCAATGAGAATTAAATTAAGTTACTCAACTATTCAGTTAACCAATATTTAACATACCTAGTTCTGTTATCTTTTTGGGGAATTCAGTGCTGCAGACTTACAAGACTTATCTCTAGTAGGGATGTAATAGTGTAGTTGATTAACTGATGAGCAAAAGCTTATAGGGTAATGTTATAGAGTACACACATTTCTCTCCCCCCACCGTTGCTAGTAAAATTTTTTAGCAGGCTGGCTAGCAGCCCAGGTCAATTCTGACTCGCACTGGGTCCAGAACCTACTCCTGCTGTGACTCTGCATTTAAAGTGTATTAGGAGACAGGCAGCTTGGCTCAGATCAAGCTCATGCTGGGTTCAGGAGCTCAAACCTTTAGACAGGGGCTGTTGCCACCCTGTTCTGCAGCCTCTTTATCAGAGGTAGCAGCACTGGGCAACAGGCAGTTGGTCCACAAGGGAAGCTGGTTTTTAAACTGTCTCCCTTCCTGGACCAACTCCTGCATGGCACCCTGCACTGCTGCCTCTGATACAGGCTGCTGGCTGTGCCGCTGCAAATTATAGAATAGGCAATAACTGATAAGAATTCATGAGGTTATTCGACTATTCAATTAACCAATATTTAACATCCTTTGTCTCTACTATGCTGGGGATTGATGCTGCCGCAATTGATTGACTGACCGTCAATTTATCACGTCTCCTGAGATAAGAGAAATCAATCTCCAAGCACTCTCCAGTCAATGCCTGTACTCCGCTAGGGCAAGAAAAATAGCTGAGGTCAATGTGAGAGCAGCTGCTGCCAACCTTACCACACCCAACACCCCAATAAGTACATTAACTTCAGCTACACAGATTAAATCAATGGCATGGTTTAGTGTAGATAAGGGCACAGTCCTGCTTAAGAATAAAGCAGATGGGCCTCAATTCAGCAAAGACTGACACAATGGAATGACCACCATAAACAGGATTACAAAGAACCAGACACCGAAGACAAATTTGATGGGCCTACTGCATGTGTAAGTGCAAGTTGAGCATATAAAGAAGAGCTTGTAGGCTTTGGTTTGTAATAGTGAGTCCTCTCTTTACCCTGCAACCCCATATATTAGAGAGACAGACTGTGAAGTAATATCTTTTATAGGACCAACTTTTGTTAGTGGGAGAAACAGGCTTTCAAACTCTTCTGAGTCCTTCTTCAGGCTTGGAACAGTCCCTTAGAATACGTGATATTTACTTATGCTAAAGTACTTGTTTGACCTTGGATTTAGCTGATACTTCTGAGTATCTTTTCTGGACCTGAGGAAGAGCTCTGTGTGAAAACTTGTCTTGCTAACCAGAGACTGGTCCCATAAAAGATTAGGGATGTAAAATCCTGTTTAATTGGCTAACCAATTGGTTAGCCAATTAAAAGGGGCAAGCATGGGGGAGACCTCTCTAACCTGGCATGCCACCTCCACCCATCCTCCCCTCCACAGGCAGGGGCTGCTTCAGCTTGGCCAGAGCAGTGCCTGCTTGAGTTCATCCTCCCCGCCACAGACAGGGGATGCATCTACAGGGATGCCAGAGCAGCCCCTGTCTGCGGTGGGCCAGGGTGCCTGTGGGGCACCGTGACTCACTGCGGACAGAGGCTGCAATGGCTGGAATGCTGGACCAACCTCTACCTGCGATGGGGTAGGGTGTCCCACAGGCAGGGGTTGCTCCGATGCCCTGGTTAGAGTACTCCTGCCTGCAGGCATCTGGGCCTGACGCAGGCAGGGGTTGCACTGGAGAAGCCCCTGTCTGTGGCGGGCCCCCATGGGACTGCAGCAGCCTCCTGCCAGCCCCACCAGTTAACTAGTTAAACCTTCACATCCCTATAAAAGATACTACTTCACCTACCTTGTCTCTCTGATATCTGAAACTCACATGGTTATAACACTGCATATCCTTAGTATATGTTGTTGTATTAGGCACAGAATGTAGACTTAAACTATTTGTTCTACCGTTTTTAGAAACTTAATGCTATTTTTTTTAATTATACATCTTCCTTTATAGTTCTTAAAGAT